CTTCAGAATATCATCCCCTAATTCTTTTACAATCATTCTTGTGCCATTCACAAGCCCTCTACTTACTCCCAAATTCTTCAAAAGAATTATAATACATCCTTCTTTAAGGTGTAACCGGTGTGGTGGAATTGACGGAGGATTTAGTAAATTTAAAGCTTCAACATCATGGTCGCATTCATCAAAATCCATTGGCGTCTCAACATTCGATTCATCCGTTGAGAAATATATTCTTTCATTGGTCTTTATTTTATTGAGCATGTCTTCATTAATCATATTTGCTGTGTCATTATGTGGCGCTAATATAAGTCTGTTAATGAGCTCTTTCGGGTTTGAAAGAGCTTGACCATTGTCAGTTATAAAATTCATCAGTTCTTGGCGCGATGTAACCAAATTCCTACTTTCAATCTCCACTTCCTTATTAAAATTCCCATTTCCAATTCTTCGCAACCAATCGGTGAACTGACGTTCATTTTGTCCCTGACGCATGTTGATATTCAGCGTAATTATATTATTTCTAAAAAGCGGCCACAATTGTGAAGACTGTATGCAGGCATTTACCTGATCTCGCATACCACCTCCAGCAACCACAGGAAGTGATTGCTTGAAGTCTCCGCTGAGAATGATAACCTTGCCGCCGAATGGAAGATGTTTCATGTTTGCTGAGCACATTTGTTTGCAGACGCGATCAATTGCCTCCAACATATGCTTGGGAAGCATAGAAACTTCATCAATAATGATAACCTGACTGTCACTAATGCGTTTTCCGTGAAAGCTTTGCATTGCCACTGACGGGGTGTAATTTTCATCAATATGAATTCCAAACCTAAATACCGAATGAACGGTAGCACCACCAGTCAAAAGTGTCGCTGCACAGCCAGTATAAGCCGAAGCAATTACACGGATGCGCATGTCTCTTAAGCGTGAAATTATAGCATTAAACAGATAAGTCTTTCCAGTCCCGCCATCTCCTGTTACGAAAATGGTATTGGATGAAGTTCCATTGATGGCATTTTGAACGGTAGTCCAGACATTTTCTTGATCGTCGTTAAGATTAATCGTTGGCTTTTTACCGCTTGCAGGATCATCTTCATCTTTGTCGCCAAAGAAGAAGTTATCGAGTGCTTCGTCGACGTCTTGTCGCATCCCGGGGGATGGAGAATCCAGTCCAAATTGTTGGTTTGTCATACCATAGTCAGCAAGTTGTGCTTCAATGAATGCTAATGCCCGATCAATAAGTCGCTTTCTAATATTTCCATTTGGATCAATGGTTACAAGTTTGATCATATGATCCACAAACCTTTCCCACAATTCGCGAGCATTGCTCGGATTACCAAAGACCAATACCTGAACAAACAGGTATCGCATTTCACTTGGGGTGGCGTAATGCGAGGCCTCCGCCAACGTTCTCTCCCAAACAGAGTCATCAGAAAGCAGACTTCTTAATCGTGCAGCTTCAACAAATGATGCGCATTCAATTCCATTAAAGTCTTTTAATGCCTCAGGATCGCCAGGGAAATGGCGGAGAAGTATGTAGAGAGCAAACCTCTCTTGATCCCGAGGGAATGGTCTTGGATGGATTAATCCAATTACATCCTTATTAACAATCCTTTTCTTCCAAATTTTCCCTTTATTATCAAACCAATAATTTTCTGGCATGTGTTCGTAAAGCGTGTCCTTGATTGAAGCGTCATCTGCAAAAATCCATTTTTTATTAACAAATTGCCACGACTTTCCTTCCTTCCATTGAGACCAGTACTCAGTAAGCATGGTCTTAGGTAAGTTTCCTGGTATTCCAGCAGCAACTGCTGCAGCTTGACTTTGTTTGAAAACCATCATTTGTTCTCCTGGTAAGTGGACGGGCATTTTATAAACTGCGTTGGAAAGTCGTGCATATGGCATAGAATGAATTCTTGCGTATGCTTCATTTGCAGAGCGATAGTACATTTGTGCGTAGTGCGCAGGCTCGTCAATATCGACCATGTCACCTTGTACCTGAATATATTGAAAAGTCGGGCCCTTGAGTGGATATTTCATTGTGTATTTCATGTTAGTCTTCTCACCGTAGCAATATGCTACATTGTGATGTGTTTCATATTTTAAAAGTATAAATGGATTGTAAGGCACCACATGAGCATTGGTATACTCAGTGGGCACTCCACCCTTATTTATCAATACCTTTTCACCCCCATCTTCCGGACTTGGTCGATAATGAACTGCTGGCTCGTCGTCATAGAGAATAGTCTTGTCCGAATAATCGTAAGGGAAGTACTTAGAGCATTTCCCATTTTTATCCTTGTTTCCACAAAGCTCGGGCTTACAATCATGAAGTTGATATGTTATTACAAGATCTCGAAGGCGTCTTAAACCTTCGGCACGTGGACTTTTATCATCTTTATCTGGTAATGGCGGAATATGAGCAAGAATATAGCCTTCAATGATCTCAGGTATAGCAGGGATATCAGTCGCCATCACTCTGTGGAAGTGAGGACCCCCTCTTTTCTGGAATTCCATAGATTCAGCGTATCCTAATTGTTTCCCAAATATTTTCCTATCAATCAAGTCCTTGTGTACCTCCCTAACCTTATCCGCGTAAAAACGCATGACAATGTCAGGCCGATCAATCAATGATTGACCGTTTGGGTAAAGTTCATTCTTCATTTCAGGCCATTTTGGATTAGAAGTAAACGTAAACATGAACATGGCGCATCCTCGCTTGCGTTTACGATTAATAATCGTGCACGCGGACTTATAATTTTTCTTAAAGTATGCCCTAAACCCTGGCATATTACTTCTGAAAAGTACAACATGTCCAACTTTATTTGCGGAGGATCGGCCACTATGTTTTGCAAAATAGTCTACAAGATGTACCGGTATTTCCCATCTTAAATCCATGTCATCCCTACGTAAATACTCAAATACTTGGGAATCAATTCTGGCTGCAATATCAAGCGCGAACTTCTGACCCAATCCACCACCAGTACTCCAAATATGATGATAGGATTCATTTTCCGGAAATCGAATACCAAAGCGATAACGATAGAACGCCCTCATCGAAAGATTGGGACGAGACCGGCTAGGTTCGTCACCATAGACATCTACAGATCCGCAGTCGCTATCAGCAATGGAGCCGGTTTCCGACTTGTTGTCATCAAAATCATCTTTAGCATTATTCGGTTTCTTAGCAATTTTAATATACGGTATTTCAGTAGAATAACCCTCGTCCCCGAGCAGAAACATGCAAGGGTAGAGTATAGAATCAGTCATAGGATGATTAGACCATAATTCGGTCACATTTCCTTTGAGGGTAATCCAAATACCTCTGAGCGGCGGAGGCTCATCAGTATTAGAAGACCAGATCGCAAAAACAGTGGACTCATCATGTGTAGGCAAATTAACTTGTCGTGGATGTAAGTTTGGTTCTTGAATAGCAGCAGGCGCATTTTTATCTTCGACTAAAATAACCTTAAAATTTTGCAGATTCTCCGGAGAGTTCTGTTCAATATCCTTGTAAAATTCATAAGAGTTCTTGAGAATTTCGGCCATCGGATGATAGGCACGAATTAGTTTGTCAAGAACGTGGAACAAATGTGGATTTTTTTTATTCCAATCATCAAAGCTCGTATTATTCATTCGATATTCTGTAGCGACCTTCGAATCCAATATGTACAACTGATCAAAAGATGGAATCTGGTGATCGGCTGCGGTCAAACTTCCAATCCGTCTAGCGAATTCACCATTCAGCAAAACAGGCATTGGTCCACCAGTTGGTGCATTTTGACGACCTACTGAAAGTGATCCAAAAGCAAACAAAGTGTTATATTTTGATTCGTCTCGTATGTATTCCTTAGAGTCCATTGATTCACCAGTTACATGCCTTGCATAGTCATGTGGGTATTCCTTAAGTGGGTCAAGTCGAACTCGACCATCCGTGCATGATAAACATTTTTCCGACCGAAGAAGTCTATTATCACAGTGCTCACAAATTTTATTCCCAAATTGTCCTGAGTTATAATATTCTGGGAGGTGACCTGAATTGAAGGAGGCACAACCCATCCCTTTATGTTTAAGACAGCCTTTTCCCTTATGCTTAATAGGAAGAACGTCTCCTTTCGGAGTAGCAACTGTGATATTAGATATTCCCGGAGTTAAGTTAGTCGAAGCGGCTCGCGTAGAAGATCTTGTAGACATTCTCGGAGTTGAAAGACTTGTAGTTGGGAGGTTATGAATCGGCGTTAATTGGCGTATATTAGCATGGTCGTGTTCATTTCTCGGGTGATACTCAACATTGTCACCGGAATACAATTGGTTCAAATGCCACAATATTCTTTTCTTTTCAGTGTTAATGTTAAAATTATTAAATTTAAGATTCCGGTTGTTGAATAACCACGCTTCGGCATATAGGCAGATAAAATATCCGCAACTATAACCGTCACGTTGAAGTGTGTATTTATCAGTGGCATATGTTCCCAAATGTATTAAATCCGAGCGTCTGTTGGTCAATAGAGAAAGAATTTCCATAAGTTTCGGCATTCTATCAGGATGATAGTTAGGGTGATTTGCACAAAATACATTTGGATCTGTTGGCAGTGAGTCGAAAAAATAAGTTCCGAACTCACTGTCAAAGATAATGATTGTCCAATGTCCTGGTAAGTGAATAGGGAGAAGTACAATTTGTACATCTCTGTCTTGTTCAGTTTGATAAGTGTAGTCAGCGTATGTTAAATTTTCTAATTGATAATGATCCATCTCCGTTAAAAACGGATCAACTACAATCACCTTTTTGCCAGAAACTTTGGCTAAATAACATAAATAAGCAAAGATAAAACTTTCATTTGGCCATTCAGAGAGTTTGTTCCACATTACTTCAATGGCGCGAGGGCCCCTATTATCATCATCTCTTTCATAAAGAGGCATAACTGCTCTGCGGCAAATGGAAGTTCTATCATTAGTCCTTGTTACAGCGAAGTCAAGAGTGTTCATCGTAGAGAAATTAATATTAGTTTCATTATTCGGTATGTCATGTCCAGTAATATCATTCATAGAATCATTATTTGGCAATGTATCAGCTGATTTTCTGGGTCTTCCTGTCATTCCTCTAACCTTTTTCTTCGGTCTACCTCTTGTACCCTTAGAAGAAAAACTTTCAACAGATGAGGCGCGCGAGGATAGATCCATAGAATCGTCACTAATACTGGTTTCAACAGAAGACTCGCGTGTTTTAGCAATTTTTCTTGGAACGCAAACCTCGGAAGAGATGCTCAATGGAGTGAGCGGTTCCACAAGACTTTCAATATTGGCGTTTTCATCAATGTCATGAGCACTAAAAGTAAACCTGCCCGAGCTCGAAGGCTTCCCAGGGCTACATACATTATCATTAATTGTTTCAACATCCATAGAAGTGTTTTGGATGTGCGGACGTGAATAATGTTCAGACTGCTCCTGCTGCACAGACTGATCATTGCCCTGAAGAGGACAGTTTTGGTTTCCCAGATCAATATTCGGATCAGTCTGCTCTGGTTGGACAGACTGGCCAGAGTCCTGAAGAGGACTGTTTGGGATTATAGCACGATAACGTTCTTTATCATTTTTACGCTTTAATTGTTGTCTAGTTGGCATTAAATTTCATATTTTTCTGTCAGGACGTGGTAAAGGTTGCGGTTGGAGGATGCGGAGACCTTTTGGGAATCCGCCCGCATGGAAAGCTTCCAAAAATTAGAGGACGGAGGAATCCCCCTCATTTTTAATCCGCACCTCAAGACATTATTCACGGGGTACAATAATGTCAAGAGTTCGCGAAACCGGAAAGTATATATTTCACCTATCCGGATTCCCCAGTGCACACGACGAGGACGTTTGCGTAGGAAAATGAGAAACCTCGTGCACCGAGTATGTGTCAAAACACATCTGAGAGGCTAAGTACAATAAGTCATACTACTTGTCCTATCTACTACTTGTAGAAGGACAACTGAGAGGCTAAGTTACAAAATATTTAGGCTAAAAGCCTTTCGGATCTCAGTCAAAAGACAGCTAAGAGGCTAAGTTACTATCTGTTTCCTCCAAAACAGAGATTTGGATTTAACCATTCTTTACCACGTACAGACAAGAAAAATTTCGTGACCGGAAAAATTTTCATAACCGTGAATGAAGCATAGAAATGTGATAAAATCATAGTTTGGCTAAGACATAATCGGGTAAATCAAAATCGTGTACAGCAAAATCGTGTAAAACATGATTCGTGAGCATAACCGTAGAAAATCTTCTTCAATTTATATATTTACAAACAACAGCGACTCTAATTTGTAGACAATTTTTATTAATATTTAATAGATTAGTAGAAAACAGCGACTCAAATTTAAATCAATTTTATTTTTAAATTCATATAATTTTTGACAACAGCGACTCAAATTTATTTAGCGTACAAACAACAGCGACTCAGATTTCAATTCATATATTTACAAACAACAGCGACTCATTTCAATTCATATATATTTACAAATAAAGCGACTCAGATTTCAATTCATATATTTACAAACAACAGCGACTCAAGCAACAGCCAATTCATATATTTACAAATAACAGCGACACAGTTTTCAATTCTTCATATTTAACAACAGCGACTCAAATTCATTAGCGTAGTACAGGCGAAGCTTTAATAATTACAATGTTTTAAAATTTTAAATAAATTTTCTGCAATGAATTTTTAATCTAATTGCAGCTCATTTTTAACCGCGCCTCCAGACAAGCCAGAGTTGGCCCCCAGACATAAAGTCCAGAGTTGACGGCACACACGACGTGGACGTTTACGGAGGATAATGAGATCCTTGTGTACCATATATTGTCTGAATTTGGAAAACTGGTGGAGCCCTTTATGTGAGTATCAGATCCAACCTCTACCGAAATAGAGTACCATGAATTTATAATTAGACATGGCGATATGAAAAAGACCCCACAACCAAACCGCTTCCACACATTGATCACTCCCTATATCTCGGTAATTGCTGTTTCCAAATTGCCGCGCTAAAAACATCCCCCTCAGAGGTTAAGCGTTGACCGTCCGGTCACCCCAGCACAGAACCAAAATATAGTTTGCCGGCTAGTACCTGGCTCAGGGTCAAAAACAGGCAGTAATAGGGGGCTTTCAAAAAAAATTTTGGCAGCACCCCTCTATCCTACGTTGTTTTTGGCCCCTGAATAAGGAGCGGAAAGCCGCATGGGCCACTTCTTTTCATCAGGACCCCCCACAAGCTGCTTGTAAGGGCAGACCCAAAAAAATTTGGGCATGACCCGTCCGCACAGACCTGTGTTAGGCCCCTAGATTAGAAGCGGAGAGTCCATACGGGTGCCCCTCCTAATCCAGGTCCAGCCAAACCAATGGCAGAAGCCACCAGCAGGCTACATATAGTGGCTACGCAGAGCTTAAGGACCGGAAACTGAACGGGAGTGAGACTTCCTCCCCAAAATGGGTGTATCAGCAAAAGCCGAAACGGTCGTCTGACACATCGTTCAGCCCTCGGATTTATCCCAGGCCATTTACGGTTATTCGAGTTTAACCCAGCAGTGCGGTCCTTAGCCGTTGCTAGGCGTAGTAGGCAAAAGCGTACTCCGCTCGAACAGAGCCGTTAGGATAGCCATCACGCCGCATAACGTGACTATCTTTGCGTACCACTTCCGCCGCATGATGTGGTCGTGAGTGTTAAGTTCACGCACCGAGTAACCATGCTAACGCAGTGGGATAAACTATCCATGACCCCCACTATATGGACGAGCTACAGTCCTGGGAAGGTGGCCCAGGTGTCTGGCAAACTTTGCCCAAAGGGACAATACACCATACCCCCATATAGGGGAAACAGTCTTGAGCCGACCTTTGGTGCCCTCAAAAGCACTGGGACGCTCCGGGCGGTGATGGTACTTGGCTTGCAGCCTTTCCCGTCCTACCTCGGTCCACGAAATGAGCCATATCCAGCAATTTGAGGGCTGCAAGTTTGCAATGCCCGTGCGCAATAACCTGAGAAGTGACTCAGAGTAATGCGACTTAGGGTTTTAATGGATCGCCCTCACTGGCTTCTGCCTAAGGCTACTTACCCAAAACCATAACATTCAAAAAAATCAATTAGGGTTTTAATGGATTACCCAAAACCAAAATATAAGGTTAGAAAACCAAATATTGATGAAAAAATAAATTTTTTAAATGAGGGAATTAGGGTTTTAATGGGTCACCCAAAACCATTTAAAAGCATTCAAATTTGGGTTTTAATGGCTGACCCAAAACCAAAATATAAGGTTAAAAAACCAAATATTGATGAAAAAATAAATTTTTTAAATGAGGTAATTAGGGTTTTAATGGGTCACCCAAAACCATTTTCATTCAAAAGTTTTTGAAAAATTTGGGCATGACCCCTCCGCACAGTGAAGCATCAATACCCGGGATTCTTTTCCCCCAAGTATTGGTGCCCCACGTTTATTTCACCCCATCCTGTGGGCCTTCTTGTGGCTAGGACCCGAAACCTAATGTATACAGGTTTTTCCACAGGACAGGGTTTTAAGAGGACACTTCCATGCCTCGCTGTATTTATAGTGCAGACGAGGTCATGGATAGGCCCCTTGTTGTGAAGAGGGAAGGGGGAGACTTCCCATACCCCCAAAAGGGGAAACGGGCATGTCCCAATCCCCGATCATGCCGATTCCCCCTATTTCTGGGAAAAAACCGGCATGACCCCTCCGCACGGCGGAGTGAATCATTGCCCACTGTGCAGAAGGAAGGGGGAGACTTCCCATCCCCCCCAAAAGGAGGAACGGGCATGTCCCAATCCCCAAACCATGCCGATTTTCCCCATTTCTGGGAAAAAACCGGCATGACCCCTTTGCACAGAGGTTGTCCCACTGTACAGACGGAAGGGGGAGGCTTCCCATCCCCCCAAAAGGGGAAACGGGCATGCCCCAATCCCCAAATCATGCCGGCTCCGCCCATTTTCTGGGAAAAAACCGGCATGACCCCTCCGCACAGTGGTTGTACGGCCCCACTGTGAAGAAGGAAGGGGGAGGCTTCCCATCCCCCCAAAAGGAGGAACGGGCATGCCCCAATCCCCGATCATGCCGGTTCCGCCCATTTCTGGGAAAAAACCGGCATGACCCCTCCGCACAGTGGTCATACAATTCGCTTACCCACGTCCGTGGGATTTCTTTCCTCCAAAAAATGTTCCATAATGGAAAATTCCAAATTTTCCTCCAAAAAATGGTGTAGAGAACACCTGAAAAATAAAAAATGTTTTTTGAAGAAAAGTTTTTAAAAAAGAAAAACAAACCAAAAGGTTTGTTGTAGAGATGTGAGAGTGTTGAGTTGATGATAAATTTGTATGTTGTTGTTGGCAAAAAGTAAAACGAATTAAATTTGTTGTTGTTGTCGAAGAAATTTAAATTTTTAAAAATATTAAAATAATGTTGAAGTTGAATTGTAAATAATGTTTTGAATAAAATTTTTTTAATTTTTTAGGCTAAAAATGAAAAAAAAATTAAAAAAGTTGAATAAAATGAATTCTGGGGGATTTTGGAAAAAACAGGTCGTTTCATTGCCACACTCAGGTGTGGCACCAAAACGACCATGCCCACTGAACTCCCCAAGGCCATAACCTATATCCCTAAGTTTAAGCCCAAACGCCCCAGAAGTTCCCGAAACAGGACATTTCAGTGCCACACTCAAGTGTGGCACCAAAATGACCATGCCCAATGGATTCCCCAGGGCCGATTACCTAATATAACACATTTAAGCTAAAAAGACCCAAAGGTTCCTGGTTAAATAGAATTTAAATTTTAAGGTATTTTTTTAAAAAAATAAAAAAAAAATTGGAAAAATAAAAGCTCCAGCCTCTTTTTCGACAAAAGGGAACATGAAAAAATGGACAAAATCGAAAAAAGACCAAACGGGCCAAAAACTCATTGGGATTATACGTAAACGGCCATGGGGAATTCAATGGACATGGCCATTTTGGTGCCGCACTTAAGTGTGGCACTGAAATGGCCGGTTGAAAATTTCAACACGTCATAGCGTAAAAGGCATTGGAAGGAGGTCTTGGGGCGTGCAAGTAAAGTTGTAGGGCTAAGAGTCCTCAACATAAAAGTAAGCGGCCACTTGAGTCTCATATCACTTTTGGGGCGGGGAAACCCAGAAATTTCTTCCCACCCCCAAAATTTCGACCTTTTGTAACTTTGTACAAGATGGTCAGAAAATTTTACAAAAAATGTTTTTAGACTCCACTCTATGAGAGCTTTCAATTGATGTATCATTTGCCCCATTTATACCCTTTTTGAAAAAAATATTTTTTTGGCCGAAAATTTCGGCCGAAAAAATTACCCAAATTTTCAAAAATTCATAGCTCTCACATAGTAAACCTTTTTTGGAAATTTTAAAAGCCTATCATATGCAGAAAATTTTGCTCTATAAAGGAAAAATACTTTCGGGTCGAAACGTCGGCAAAAATATCGAAATTTTTTCGAAAAACCGAAAAATTTTCGGTTTTTCGAAATTTGACCCCTACACCCCCAATTTCGAATTTTTTCGAAATTTTCTTCGGTCAAAAAATACCTAATTTTTTGCTCGATTTTTTAGACGAAACCCCATCACAATCCGACTTTTCAAAAAAAAGTTAAGGTCCCCTAAAAAATCCCGAATTTTCCCCAAAAGGGGTACCCCTGTGGAAATAGGGGGTGGGACAAAATTTTCGAATTTTGACCCAAAATTCGACCTATATGGTGCTTTGACACCCGCTGATTACGAATCCGGCGTCAAAAATATTTAAAAAAATTTCCCCGGGACGTTAGAGTCTCAAAAAGTTTCACGACATTTGCGTACATTGGCTATAACTTTTTGAGACTCAAGTGGACCCCCGACATATTATACCTTTTTCTGACCGCCAGGGGACGCTCTACAATATAGGCTATCTCAAACGGGTGAAACGACACTTTTCCGAAAATCGACTCGAGTCGCACCGACTCTTTGACTCATATCTCCCCAGGACATGATCTCAGACTCAAACGTCCACCAACTTAAATGTCCCTAATACTCTCCCCTACAAATAACTCAACACACCCAAAGTCATTCCCCAGCAAGACTTTTTCAGTATAACCATTTTCCCCCCTCAGACTCAAATATCCCACCTCCAGACTCAAGTGACCCCCATATAACAAACATCACAAAACGTGCATTAAATTACTCTATAATACCCCCAGGTCCCATCCAAATACACCTCTCCAAAAAAAGTTACACTCAAAAAACCATTTGAGTACAGGCCGGACATTTCAGTCTCACGGGGTTTTCTACCCCGGGACTTAACTTTTTCGACCCGAATTTTTTTCCATTATGATCTACTAATTGTGGGATGCGTGCCTCCCAGCAAGACCTTCCCCCCTTTCTATTGGACTTTTTCGAGATAGGAAATGACCCGATGCCGTTTGAGACTCAAGCGACCCCCGGAAAATTTCGGCTATATTTTTGCTGGATGCCCCGTAAAAAGTTGCCCCCAGGATGTCAGGCTTCGGGGAAGCGGCCGGCCTTCGGCCGGCCGGAATTAGTTTTTAAATTTAATTGGGCTCTGGATTTTATATAATATAATTTAATTTTACAACAATCTTTCCTGAGTTCAATACAACATGTCCAGTCAGATTGGGTTTTACCTAAATTATTTATTTATTTTTATACTAAATTAATCTTCCCACCAATGTCTCAGAACATCTTTTTAATTCAAATGAACGTAGTAAATGTACCAAAACCATTTTAACTTCCATCATTGCCAAACGCATTCCAATACAAATTCTAGGTCCTCCTCCAAAGGGATAATAATATTCTGTAGGTATATTCTCATTTGATAACCATCTTTCCGGTTTAAATTCTTCAGCATCTTCTCCCCAAATTTTTTTATCTCTATGTAAAGTAAATAAATCAGCATAAACATAAATTCCTTTCTCTATTTTTATATCTCCAAGGGTTGTAGCTTCTTCACATTTTCTGTTCACCACGCTTAAAATTATTTAATTTTTAATTAAAAAATTATTTTTCAATCCGGAACTAAAGCCGCTTTTTATGTGGCTAGTTCCTGGACTGGGAGTTCGAGATATTTAATTTCCAAAAATTTTTATTATTTATTTCATTAACCAACTCATTCGCGATTGGGCATAATCTTTGTGTTTCTTTAAACACAGCATCTGCATATTTTAATTTGGCCAATTGTTCGTAGTCAATTGTTTCTTCTTCTAATCCACAAATTTCTTCAATTTCTCCAAATAAACGTTTTTGAACGTGTGGGTAAATAACCAAATTGTGTGCTATTAAACTTAGAGTATTTGCTGTTGTGTCAAATCCAGCCAAGAGGAAGAGAAAACAATTAAGTACAATTTCGTCTAAAGTATTACAACGTTCAAACTGAAATCAAAATAATATTTGTTAAAAATAGTGAAAATAGTTTAAAAAACATTATTTAAAATCCTTGTATTCCTTTCACGCCAGAAATTTTTTATAAAAAAATTTTTTCCTTTATTTAAATAGAGATGGGCCACTTACGTCTTTCGGTCTAAAATAAATGAGTCCACCCCTGAAGACCTACACCCCCAAGACCTAAACCCTGAGGACCTACACCCTGAAGACCTACTGACCCTGAAGACCTACACCCTAAAGACCTATTTACCCTGAAGACCTACAACTTTTTGATCAACACAATTTTTTACTTTTTATTTCTTTACAAGTCTAATCGGGGGATTTAAAGGAGGTAAAGAGGAGCTAGGAGGGATTAAGAGGGATATTGATGGATTTGAAAGTTTTAATGGGGATAAAGGGTGATATCGAGAACTTTGAGGTTTTAAAGTGGGTAGAGGGATTAATCGGGATAAAGAGGATCTTCTGATATCTTCGATATTCACTACTATAAATAATTTGAGTTGATCAAAAATTTGTAGGTCTTCAGGGTAAATAGGTCTTCAGGGTGTAGGTCTTCAGGGTCAGTAGGTCTTCAGGGTGTAGGTCCTCAGGGTGTAGGTCTTCAGGGTAAATAGGTCTTCAGGGTGTAGGTCTTCAGGGTCAGTAGGTCTTCAGGGTGTAGGTCTTCAGGGTCAGGAGGTCTTCAGGGTTGACCCTAATACTATCTATGTACATATTTTTAACGTAAATCACCTTTTCCTTTTTGTTATAAGTCCCATTATTCGTTTTAAATTCAATTTTATTATTTTCAGCCTCAGATTCCAAAAAGAGGTCAATAAAATCAACCCATTTTTTATTATTTAAATTTTCTTCATTTTCTTCTTCTTCCTTTTCATTTTTCTTCATTTTCTCTTCTTTTCTTTTAACAACAGCTTTATGAATATTTTCCATTAAAATTAATATTGGATCTCCTCTTAATTTTCCCGTGGCATTAGAGAAAGGTTTAAGTATATTTTCTCCAATCCAAGGGAATATAAAAGAAATATAATAAAAAATATTATTGTTAATTCGAGTAAAAGAATCTTGAGCTATTTGACAATATTCTGATTTAAATTGCCTTGAGTCTTTTTGTCCCATTGCTATACGAACGATTACATCGAAAGTAAGTTCTACAAAATATCTTAAAAATAAATTTTAAATTTTAATGAAAATCAGGGTGTCCCTTTCCAAAACACCAAAATAGGGCAAAGCTACTCAAAAATATGGCAAAAATAGGGCGAAATTGGTCAAAAATAGGGCAAAAAATAGGGCATTGTTTTAAACACTTAAGAATACTTAAAATTTTAAAAAGAAAGCAAGATTCAATTTCAAAGATTTTACTAATATTAAAATGATAAATAAACACCACAAGAGAGATTCGTGACAAAAATATCTCAAGAACCAGGAGAAGACCCTCCAAATCTGCTGATATCACTATATCTAGAGTAGGTCGAGGCCTCGCCGAGGCCGGATTAATAAAATTTCTGAAAAAAATTCTCAAAATTTTCGCTTGCCTGCTGAAAAAAGGAAGCGATCTCGTGACTGATCTTCTAAATCGCTTGTGGCGCTGGGATTTGCGTGATATTGGCGAGGGATTGGCGAGGGATCAAGAGATGCTTTGACCCACTCGAGGCTCTCGATCTCTACTTCCTATCCTTTTAATTCTTGTGCTTTGGGATTAAGTTTAGATTTTTGGAGCGCCGCAGGCGAAAATTTTGAGAATTTTAGAAGGCCGTAGGCCAAAAAATTCACTTTTTTAGCGCCGCAGGGGAAAATTTTAAGAATTTTTGAAGATTAAGAAGCCAGATTTCCTCCATTTTCTGCGCCGAGGCAAAAATTTTGAGAATTTTGGAAGTCCTTAAGCCAGATTTCCTCCATTTTCTGCGCTGCAGGCAAAAATTTTGAGAATTTTAGATGGCTATGCGGTAATTTTGTCAAATAAAAAATAAGAAATCAATCCTTAGGGGTGTTAAAAAATACCGACGGTATCTTACACTAATCCCGATACCGATACCGGCCTCGGTTTCGGTATCAGCAAAAACGGTATCGGGATTTGTCTTTCGGTGTCGGTATCAAAAAAATCGGTATAATACCGCCCGATACCGGTCGGGATCCCGATACCGGCCAACTCTACTTTAATCCCAGAATACTGTTAATTGAATTACCCTTAAGAAAGAATATCACAGATAATTCAAACATGATATCCCCTAAAACGTACCATCGATTCACGACCAAATCCCCAAATCCCCGTACCATAATCGAAGAATTCTTCCAATTGTCAGCGCCGCAGGCGAAAATTTTTTGAAATTTTGAGCTCAAGAAGCCAAATTTCATACATTTTTTGCGCCGCAGGCAAAAATTTTGAGAATTTTGGAGGCCAGGAATAGGGCGAAAATAGGGCGAAATTGTCAAAAATAGGGCAAATGCCCTGTAAATAAGGCAAAAGGGACACCCTGATGAAAATATCTCAAGGAAAAATTATTGGCCGGTCTCTTGTAAAGTATTTCGGTATTATAATGAGAAAACAATGACTTCTAATAATGATCCGTATGATATTGGTTTTGATAGAGTCGGATACCGGAAATGATAAACACTAGTCCCTGGTTTGAACAATGAAGGAAAACCTCAGGAAACTATAGAAAAATAGGATTAAAGTGGTGGACACAACAGTGAGTGGAGGTCAATAAAATTGACCATCCAAAAAAAGGAGCAATTTTTAATTGGATTTACCTATCTTCCTCAAATCCTCTTAATCCGTCCTAATCCTTAAAATCCACCTATATCTTCGCATAATCCTTTCAATCTCTCGATATCCCTCTTAATTTGGCGAGGACGGAGGGATGAGAGAGAGAGCCCCACTGATGGGTTCTCCGGACACGTTGAGGGGGGATATCAGGTCCAACATGTATTGCAACCCTCTCTGTTGTTGATTCCGAGTTTTCTCGAACTAGACTTTGTTAACGGTACATGTCTAGGTGCAATTTTTAACTGGTAGTCTTCCAAAAAAGTATCAATGAACAGCCTTATAAGTGTTCTTATAACCTCAATATTCTTTAATTAACTCACTCGTGTAAATCAACACATTTTCCAGATTCCTCTGCTTCTTTTAATAAATTAATATTTATTTTAATAGAATCCTCGATTATTGGCATTATCTTAAAAATAATTATTTTTAATTAAAAAATTCTCTTTACTCTTTTTAAATTAGAAATTGAAAATGCTGGATTGGCAATTGAACGAAGTCGTTTCCATCGCTTTCCTTTTGCAAGGAATAGATGAATCAATTTACTTGTATCTACATCACCAACAATAGGGCAAAGCTTTTAAAAAATAATTATTTAAAATTTTATTTTAAATAAAATGAACATTTTTATAACTTTATTAGTGTGAATATTTAAAATTACAATTTCCTCTAATGGCTATTTCATTATTTTCCTCCTCTGGGGGCTATTTTAGCGAAAATTAATTGTAAATACCATATTTATATTTCCTCATTTATTATATAGGCCGATGAAATTTCTCGGTCCAACTAATAAACTACCAGGCAGGTACATAGCTTATTTTTATAGGAGGTCAGTCAGATGCATAATATATCTGACTTGAATATTGGTCAGTCAAAAACCTAAAAATAAGTCAGCCAATTGAAACTATATGTCAGTCAATTGACACGAGTGCACGAAGTTGCATAGCTATATCTCTGTTTAATATTTTCGATCTAAATCATGCTAGGACTTTCTAGATTCGAAAATTTTAAATAAAATTATAGGCGCACGCGGATTGGACTGCGTTCTGGGGATAGAATTAAAAGAATAGTCCCAAAAATAAGATTTTCAATTAAAAAATTTTGAACTTACAGCCCTTCCATGAAAATATTCAAATTTATCAACAAGTAATTCCTTAACTAATTCTGGTTCACTAACAACCAACACATTAAACCATCCATTTTTAATTCCGTAAATTCTTCCATATTTTTTACTCCAATTAAATAATTGTAACGATAAAGGATTTTTATTTCCAAAAATTAAATCTATATTTCCTTTTAATGGTAAAGGTTCTGGCCCGGGAATTCCTCTATTTTTCCAATAATTATTTTTTCTTATTGCGGTCCAAAATAATAATAATAAGGAAGATGTTGTTATTATTAATAATATTATTATTAAGAAAATCATTTTTTTCTTATTAAAAATAAAATACATATAATTATAAAATGTTTGTTATAAAATTTAATGTTATAATTTGAAATTTGCGGACAAACCTGTAACACATTAAAATTGGAATAAACAGCTAGTGGTATAGAAAAATTACAAAAATGCCTAAAAAATAACTAAAAAACAGATAAGATCGTATGTCTTATGAAAAGAAAAATAAAATATTAATTATAATAAAGAAAACTACACATGATCAGCACCCATTATTACCCTATATATGGCATTTTGAATATTAATATAGGGGAGATGGCATAGCGAAAAAGTAGCGAGTTGTCATTCACTGATCTATTAGAAATATATTTGAAACTAAAAAAACCAACAGATGGGATGAAAAGTACCTTAAACTATTTAACTAGCAGGGATGGATTTTCTCTGCTTCCGCCTTCCGTTTGATCAAATTTTTTCAAATACCTATTTACAAATATCAACTTATTTGATTTAATATTTGATTTTGTCATTTCTCCAATCTCTATAAAATACGCTTCAATAGAACTTACGCAAAGATAAGATATTTAAAAAATAACAGGGTTTGAGCATAACTCGACATGACTATCTCAGGAAAAAATAGGATATAACCTAAAAAATATGAACCCTAAGCATTACAATTATATTTATCATCATTATAATAAAAAATATTGATAAAGTTAAAAATAAAAGACATTTATTTGTTACAATATTTTACGCGTTAACGAGTTAAGTTATTATTTATAAAGTAAACAAGTGACAAATATTTATATCACATAAGTATGTAACAACGTAGTTTATAATTATTGTAGTTTGTTTGTAAAAATTAATAGTAAATAATCTAAAATTCTTTTGATACATATAAAAGTAATTTAAAATTTATTTTTGATCAATTATTTTAATTTTTTCAAAAAAATGATTATAGACTATAATTATATTTATTATGGCTATAGTGAACAAAATATTGTTAAAATTGAAATGTGGCAAATAAGTAGTCTGTAGTTAATAAATATTTAATAAAAAATAGATAGCAAATAATTTAAAAATTCTTTCAAATACTGCGTAACAAAATGATAGGACACCATGTTTAATGGATTGAACGCCGTTAGGCAAAACAGCGCAAGAAAATTATTTTTAAATTATTTTCAAATCGCCTCAGATTATTTCAATAAATTGTTTTCAAATAGCCTCACCCAAGGGAGGCTATTTGAGAGGTACAACAAAATCCTGAAAGAGCAGGAAAGGTTCAGCATGACAATATGCAGTGGAGAAGCACATATGGAAGATAATGGATATAGAGCCAAAATTAGAAAATAGTGAAAAAATTGCCTGTAAATAATGTAAAAGTGACACCCTGCTTCAGACTGTTCTCCATACAATTCTAGGATTTGAAGTGGATAGAAAAAAATACTATAATGCATGATAAACTTGAAAATAAAAAAAACAATTCTTGTTAATGTGCCAATTCTTCAACAGAAGGGATCGTCGAGGCTGGAAAAGCCGAGATAGATGTCGAGTGGCAAATTTTGGCGAGGCCAGAGGTCGAGGATAAACGAGGATTTTAAAAATCCGCGGGGAACTATAATGGCCCTGCTCTCTAGGCCCTGCCACAACCGTGGATTTAATGTAGTATTTATTTATTTAAAAGAAAAAATAGAACATTAGTAAATTCGAAAATCATAAATTTTATTGATATGCCAATTCTTCAACGGAAGGACACATGCATACTAAATTTCGATCACCAAAAGAATCATCAATTCTTCCACAGGATGGCCATACCTTCCTTGGAGTAAGACACCATGGCTTTGGCCAACCAGCTTGTTCTCGACTGTAAGGTCTGTCCCAATTGTCGGCCATCAAAACTGCTTGGGTGTGTGGGGCGTTCTGAATATACAAAAATTAGTACTTCAATATTTTCATCCCTACTTTGTAGAGATCAATGTGTAGTTGTCCATTAGATATTTGCTCTATTTCTTGTTTGATTGCAATCAAAGAATCACAGTACCGATCCAATTCGGCTTTGTCTTCACTCTCTGTCGGTTCAATCATTAAACTGTCTCGAATCGGCCTATAGAAAATTTAAAATAATTTCTCAAATAAAAATTTAAAAATCTAGCCAATGCATTGTTGGCGCATGAAATCCAAAATCCATTAAACGTTTAGCTATATCATCCACTTCAATACCAACATGCTTGAAAGGTTTGCAGTCTATAATAAATTCGTGAGCGTTTAAGCCTTGTTCGTCTCTGTAAACAACTCGATAACCAGCATTTTCTAATCTTTTTGCCATATAATTAGCATTAAGTATAGCCATTTGGGAGGCAATTTTTAGACCAGAAATACCCATTCTTTAAAAAACGGTTTAAAAAATAAATATAAAAAAAATTATTTTACAATCTAATATATGCCCAAGTAATTGACAAAATACTGGCACTTCCCCAAGGTGCACCGCTCACAACGCCATCAAGCCTTTTTTCTCCATTTTGTGGGATTATTGGATGTCCAGGTAGGAAAGGTGCAAGATGTGATTTACTTAAATTTAAATTTGATGGGAAGATTTTTTTGGTTTTGGAAGGAAATATGGGAAATCCTAGAGGTGTTAAAGACAAAAAATTTACATGACTCAAGCTAGAACCAAAATCCAAGAGTTATTCAGAGGACAAGAAAGACATCCCCAAGAAAGTTTTTGGAACATAAGTCTTGAACTTAGGGCTAGTCTTTTTCCCAAAATTTATTAAAAAGGACTGTCCTCATTCAATATTTAATTATGGGGCCAAATGTTTGTTTAAAATTAATTTAAAATTAAGTATTTCCCCAAAAATAATTAAAGTTTTCATTAATACTCCCCTCTCCCAATATCTTCATTTATTCCCTAATAATATCAACACATACACTCCAATTGGTCCCATTCCTGGTCCTCCGCCACCATGAGGTATACAAAAAGTTTTGTGTAAATTAAAATGGGAAATATCACTTCCATAATCTCCAGGTCTGCAAAGACATGCTTGGGCATTAAAATTAGCCCCATCCAAATAAACTTGACCTCCTTTGAAAATAATTTTTTCAAAAATTATATTTAAATAATTTAACCATGTTCGTGTATTTTATTGCAAACTTCTTTAATTTGTGATTCAAAAACTCCATGAGTTGACTTAAAATATTTAAACACTAAATGATTGTTGAAAAACAGTTAGATTTTTATTAATTTAAATAATTAAATATGTACAGTATTTATTCTAATATAACGACATATTGTTTTATTTTTCAACCCTCTTCTAGGGTGTAATTTTATTAGAGACTGTCGTTATAATAGAAACTGTCGTTATATTAGAATAAATACGGTATCTGCTTCAGAGAATTTAGGATCTATGTATATTGTGCATGTGTATTATAACTTTGGATAAGTAAGACTTCTACTCCCATAAAATTAGTGACCCACTATACTATAAACAATAGTGAATCTAATCTAGGCAAAATGGGTCAGAATTTGGAGGTTATATTATTTAATACTAACAGTTCTAGATTTCATAATTTTAGTTTATTTATATATATGTACATATGTTGTTAATTTAAAATAATAATAATTTTAAAGATTAGATTAATTTTGAAAAAAATAATCTTACAGGATATGTAATCATTGCACATGCTAATTCATTAGAAAAACGTTCACACTTAAATATATTTATTGAATATTAATTTTAATTTATATTTTTTTACTTTAGTAGAGAGATCTTTAAAATTAATATTTCCATGTTTATCTGATTCAACTGGAACAACTTTAAAATTAGCCATATGTGCAGTAGCTGGGTTAGTTCCATGGGCAGATACAGGGATTAAACAAATCTTTAAATTTTAATTTAAAAATCATTTTTCTGAAACAAATTTACATTTCTTTGGCTTTCCCCTTTAGAATGGAAATAACCACGAATTGCCAACATACCCGCATATTCACCATTAGCTCCACTAAAAAATTTGAAATAAATTAAATAAAAGAACAGTTCCTTTTAATAAAATTTTTTAAAATAAAAAGTATATGTAAGTTGATTGGGTTAGATTGAAAATAATTTAGATTTCTCGCCCTTCGAGTCACTGAATTTTTAACCACAAAACTTGACTAGTTCAGAGACTAGTAAAAAATATTTTGACCCTAAAATTTGTCTCATCTCGGAGGTTTTTCCACTGGCATTCTGAATTCGAGCCGGCTCGACGAGCGTTACGAATAAAACGAAAAGTGGAGGGGAACGAGGGAGGTGGAGAGTTGTCAACAAAATTGTCAACACACCATAGAAATGTTTCTATAAATAAATATTTACTAGTACCTATTTGGCTGTAAAGAAAATTTATCATAACCAGTAAGTTCACACAACCAACGTTCCAAATCATTAAAAATCTAACAAAAATACCAATTAAACTAATTAATTCCAAATTACTTTAGAATATCCTTTTGCTTGTTCTGTAGGTACAAAAGGGTGAATATTAGCAAATTTTGGCCAACTTATCTTTAAATAATTTTTTTTTAATTTAAATAAATTTTAAAAAATTTACAGGAATTAATTCAGAACTTGCATTTAATTTCATTGTACAAGAACCGAGGGGAATCTATAATTTTAAAAATTAATTTAAAAATAAAATTATATTAACCATTGAATGTACAAGTGAGAGATCTTTATTTTCAAGTCTTTTCATATATCTTTAAATAAATTATAGGTAGTTAAAATTATAAATCAAACTATAGATCATTTTAAAGAACGGACTCATTAGAAATCAGACGATTAGAGATAGGACTCAAGATCTAGAAAAATTCTCGATATCGATAACCGTGATTCTCGATCGAGATCATGTCTCGGTCCGGTCTCTATTTAACGTTATTAATAAAAATATTTTTCGATTGGAAAAGTTTGTTTTTTGCCATAACAGTTATTCGTATATTCGTACCAAAATTAGTATCCTTGCCCGCAAGTACAAAAAATTAAGGTCTGGGCCCTACCATAGGAATAAATGAACTTATGACGGCTTACAGGTTC